CGCCGCGGCCACGCGTACCTCGCTCCACCGCCTCTTGCTGCTGCTGCTGCTCCAGCCGGAGGCCGGGCCCCCGACCGCACGTACCTCGCTCCGCCGCCTCCTGCTGCTGCTGCTGCTCCAGTCGGAGGCCGGGCCCCCGGCCGCACGTACCTCGCTCCGCCGCCTCCTGCTGCTGCTGCTGCTCCAGTCGGAGGCCGGGCCCCCGGCCGCACGTACCCTCGCTCCGTCGCCTTCTGCTGCTGCTGCTGCTGCTCCAGTCGGAGGCCGGGCCCCCGGCCGCACGTACCTCGCTCCGCCGCCTCCTGCTGATGCTGCTGCTCCAGCCGGTCCATCTCTGCCATCAGCCGCTCCATCTCGTCCGTGTACGTCATCTCCTTGTTGTTGAGCCAGTGCACCATGAAGTTCATGGACGAGCCCGCCTCAGAGGTGCCCATGCTCGGCACCAGAGGGATATCTGCGGTGGCGACATCCGCGCGGCGTCAGCAGCGTCCGGCGTCAGCACCGACGCCGCGCTCACGCCCGACCGATGCCGGAGCGACAGAGCGCAGCCAACAGAGGGCCAGTCGCCACAATGCGGCGGCATGGGATGCTCCCCAAACAACAAGACAGCAGCACGGGACACGCGCTTCTTCTTTAACGAAAATTGGCTGGTCTAGAATCGGGCTTGTGTCAGGCGTCTTTGGCATACCGCCTGTGAGGTACCACCGGCATAATGCCAAAGACGGTGGCATCAAGACCTTCGTTCATATTTGCCTTTCACAATCACCAAGAAATTTTGGCAATGAGTATTGTACGATCAGGACTTGGTGGGCGGAAGCGAAGGCGGATCAGGACGCAATGTGGGCGGAAGCGAAATTTCAACTAACATGCCAGTGAGGGAACGGTCCGCACGAGACTGCACAAGGCCACGGGTTATCGTCTCCTCTAACTTCACCACGGTGGCATCAAGACCTATGTCCAGCTCAGCACAGCCACGCACAAAACCACATGTTTCCGAGCGACAGCATTGTTTTGGTAGCAAGCCGTATGCGGTATTCTTTGCGTTTGATGCCGACTGGTCTCTCCAACAAGTCCGAACTAACCAAGCGCTGCCGATGACCTGAGCGGCGGCCTGACCCGTGACCTGACTCTGTGCCACTGGCCTGAAACGGCGCTGGTACCGACGCTGGTTTGATCGCGTGCTGCTGGCCTGACCCTAAGTTAACCGCTGGTTCCACTCCTGTTACAGGGCCAACTCAGTCATGCGTCTGACCTGACCACATCCCACGTCCCTGCCCTGTCCTGCCCTGACCCAACCTGACCTAATCTGTCCCGCCCTGCCCTGCCGACCTGATCTAACCTGTTCTGCCCTTATCCCGTCGTGTCGTGGTCGTGTCGTGTCGTGTCGTGTCGTGTCGTGTCGTGTCGTGTCGTGTCATCCGTGCCGTGCCGTGCCCTGATCTGACCAGACGGGCGTGACTGACCTGACTCGGCGTTGATGCTGGCCGCCAGGTGGAAGTGCAGCGTCTGCATGGCGGCCCGCTGGGCGCCGCCGCCGTCGTCGCCGTTCATCGACGACAGCGAGTCGATCAGGCGCCAGTCGGGCGGCTGGCTGGACGACCGGTGCGGTCGCCGCAGGTGGAAACATTGCCTGCACGCAGCGACACCGCCAGGTCAGCGGCTGCCAGCCGCATCCACGCTGCTTAGCCAGGTCAACGAACGCGTCCATATCACGAGCGCCGCTGCGGTGTGGAGAAGTCTCAGAAATTGGTGTTTTACACTGCGACTTGTGGCTTACGAGCACGCATGCTTAAGCACGATGCATTATGAGACATAAGAGATCATTCTGAAATGAGTGATCAAATCATTCAGCCATGGCGCCCTCATCGCTGCCAGGCCCAGTCATGCCACAGGAGCGCATGTACCGCAGCCGGCAGCGGCTCACGATCCGTCCGACTCACCGCATGTGTTTGAACTTGTGCAGCACCTTGTGCTGCTTGTGTTTCCTGGGCAGGTACATGGAGTCGTGCGAGGTAGCCGACAGCCAGCCCATGTCCACCATGCCGTCGTCGGGCACGCGCGTCGTCTCCACCCAGACGCGGCAGATGCTGTCCCGACAGGACGTTACCAGCATGTTGGCCACAGCGCCCCTGTCGGCGGGCGGCGGCGGTCACGCGCCGGCCCGGAGACGCACTCCAACGGTCGCCGGCGACGGAAGGGCAGCGCCGATCACAGAGCCGAACACGGACGCGGCATGGCCGGAAGGCCACCGTCAGACGAACGGACGGGGCGACAGCGTGGCAGGGTGACGGGCGGGTAGGGCGGCCTCCGGCGGAGACGCTGACCAACCGGTACACAGGACACAGCGCACAGGGACACGGCGGCGGCTCGGTTCACAGACCCACGGACGTGTCGGAGGTGGGGTGCTACTGGTGACCGGGACCGGGACTCTCAGTCCTGGACCGGAGCCCCTCCGGACCGGGGGAGGGGGAGGGGAGGCGGACTGGGACCCCGCCGGGCCGGGGGAAGGCGGACCGGGTCCGGACGGCGCCGGGAGCAGGGCGGCGGCGCTCGCTCACCGGTGCATGAACTTGCTGGTGTGACGCCACTGCAGGCCGGTGACTGGCAGCGGGTGCGCCAGGTAGATGAAGTCGTACGTGACGCCGTCCCACTCGGCCCAGCTGGCCCCGTGCCGGTAGGACGGGTGCGCTGCGGCAGGAGGCGTGCCGATCAGCTGCAGGCGGTGGGCCCAGCTGCCGCTGTCAGCTGCCTCCTGCCAGCTGTCTGCTGTCTACAGCGAACCACGCTCGGAAACGTCCCATCTAGCACCACATTGCAAAACTTCCACAGAAGCTCGTACTTTGAGTTCGAGGGCACTCGCGGTCTTTCGTGACCGCGACGCGCAAGCGGTGCTCCATCGCAGCCGGTCTTGGCCCTGGCCTGCCGACCCGCCCGGCCGGCTCGCGGTCTGAGACCAGCCGCCACGCTGCTTACCTTGCTTCTTCTCGTACCAGACCTTGACGATCTGGTCGGCGCTGCCGGCCGTGGCGAAGAGAGAGCCGTCGCGCGAGAATGCCATGAAGTGCACCGGCTCGGCGGTGCGCACGCGCCAGAAGCACTCCCAGACGTGACCGGCCGCGTCCTCGTGCTCCTCGCCCACGGCGAACTTGACGCGGCGCGCCTCGGCTGCGCCGGCAGACGTCTCGTTAGTCGGCCGCGCTGCACACCGCGCGGTGGTCGGTGCGGTCCTCGGACCGCCGCACCACGCAGTCCACCCACCCAGCCGTTGTCTGTACGACGGCAGGCTAACTCTCTGCAGGGCGAGGGCTTTGACAGGACCTAGGCTATCATAACGCAGCCGCTGGAGAAGCCAACATTCGTCTGGCATCCGCATCGTGTTTGATTCTTTTGACGTTTCTTTTGTTATTTAGAGGGTACCGAAAACACGCATCATTGCCTGGGGTGTGAGCGTCCGTCCACATAACGTCACCCCAATTTCCAACCCCATGTTGTGAAAATGTCCATCACAACGCACACGTAAGTTCTCGGCGACCAATACGTACATCAAGCGCGTACAGTACATCCAATGCGCAGCTGCCACCGAGAAACATCGTAAAAGTAAAAAAGATCTGCACGCCGTCTGAATCGCAGGCAACCAGCAAACACTCACGGCTGACAAAGCCGTCCACATGACATGCCCAGCCTGTCGAGGTATGCCCCAACCCGCCCGTCACAGACGGCACAGCGAGAGCCGCGCTTGCGCGGCGGCCTTGGTCCGGGCGCCGACCACTCACCGAGGTCCTCCTCGCGCGCCTTTTTGACCCACATCTGGAGGAAATCGCCGCCGGTCAGCAGGTGCGTGCCGTCCAGGTTCCAGGAGAGGTTGTGGATGGCGCAGTTGGCACGGATCGTGTCCTGCAGCACCCAGCGCGACTTGAGCGGCTGTAACAGAGCGGCGGCCGGCGTCAGACGGCAGACTGGTGGCCGGCCCGGCCCGGCGCGCCGCCAGCCAGCGGCCGCCGCGCCCCTCCAAAGCAAGGGACAAACTCCGCCGGTCGTGCTGACACCACTACCACAAGCCGAGACGGTCGCGACGCAGCAGCAGCGGGGTCTGGTCAGATGGCCTGGGCAGCATACCTCTATCCCTACGACCCCTTTACATGGTCTGGTCAGCAGCATCAGTAGCATGGTTCCACAGGCGGGGTGTGGTCACCTGATCCTGTCAGCGTGGTCTGGTCACGTGGTCCCGTTGCATTATTCCAGTTAGCAGGTTATTGGAGTCCTGCCACATGGTCATCTCAGCGAGGTTCGGTGAGAGTAACTGGTCAACCGCCATCACTGATCGCTGGCGACCGCCAGCGCATGGCCGAATGGCAGACTCTCCGCTGCTGGCACTCGGGCGACGTGGGCACTGGGAGGGGATGGACAGCCTAAGGAGACTCTCTCTGCTGCTGGCACCCGGGCGACGTGAGCACTGGGAGGAGATGGACAGCCTGAGGAGACTCCGCTGCTGGCACCCAGGCGACGTGAGCACTGGGAGGGGATGGACAGCCTAAGGAGACTCTCTGCTGCTGGCACCCGGGCGACGTGAGCACTGGGAGGAGGATGGAACAGCCTGAGGAGACTCCGCTGCTGGCACCCGGGCGACGTGAGCGGAACTGGGAGGGGACGTGACAAGCCCTGAGGAGACCTCCGCGGGCTGGCACACCCGGGCGACGTGAGCACTGGGAGGGGAGGGACAGCCTAACGGAGAACTGTCCGCTGCTGGCCACCCGGGCGAACGTGTAGCACTGGGAGGAGATGGACAGCCTAAGGGAGAACTGCCGCAGCTGGCACCCGGGCGACGTGAGCACTGGGAGGGGATGGACAACCTAAGGATACTCTGCTGCTGGCCAACCCGGGCGGGAAACTGTGATCACTGGGAGGGATGGGACAGCCTGAGGAGACTTCCGCAGCTGCACCCGGGGCGACGTGAGCACTGGGAGGAGATTGGACAGCCTAAGGAGACTCTCTCCGCAGCTGGCACCCAGGCGACGTGAGCACTGGGAGGAGATGGACAGCCTGAGGAGACTCCGCTGCTGGCACCCGGGCGACGTGAGCACTGGGAGGGGATGGACAGCCTGAGGAGACTCCGCAGCTGGCACCCGGGCGACGTGAGCACTGGGAGGGGATGGACAGCCTGAGGAGACTCCGCTGCTGGCACCCAGGCGACGTGAGCACTGGGAGGGGATGGACAGCCTGAGGAGACTCCGCTGCTGGCACCCGGGCGACGTGAGCACTGGGAGGGGATGGACAGCCTAAGGAGACTCTCTCCGCAGCTGGCACCCAGGCGACGTGAGCACTGGGAGGAGATGGACAGCCTGAGGAGACTCCGCTGCTGGCACCCGGGCGACGTGAGCACTGGGAGGGGATGGACAGCCTGAGGAGACTCCGCTGCTGGCACCCAGGCGACTGAGCACTGGGAGGAGATGGACAGCCTGAGAGACTCCGCTGCTGGCACCCAGGCGACGTGAGCACTGGGAGGAGATGGACAGCCTGAGGAGACTCCGCTGCTGGCACCCAGGCGACGTGAGCACTGGGAGGAATGGACAGCCTAAGGAGACTCTCTCCGCTGCTGGCACCCAGGCGACGTGAGCACTGGGAGGAGATGGACAGCCTGAGGAGACTCCGCTGCTGGCACCAGGGCGACGTGAGCACTGGGAGGAGATGGACAGCCTGAGGAGACTCCGCTGCTGGCACCCAGGCGACGTGAGCACTGGGAGGAGATGGACAGCCTGAGGAGACTCCGCTGCTGGCACCAGGCGACGTGAGCACTGGGAGGGGATGGACAGCCTGAAGGAGACTCCGCTGCTGGCACCCAGGCGACGTGAGCACTGGGAGGGGATGGACAGCCTGAGGAGACTCCGCTGCTGGCACCCAGGCGACGTGAGCACTGGGAGGAGATGGGACAGCCTGAGGAGACTCCGCTGCTGGCACCCAGGCGACGTGAGCACTGGGAGGAGATGGACAGCCTGAGGAGACTCCGCTGCTGGCACCCAGGCGACGTGAGCACTGGGAGGGGATGGACAGCCTGAGGAGACTCCGCTGCGGCACCCAGGCGACGTGAGCACTGGGAGGGATGGACAGCCTGAGGAGACTCCGCTGCTGGCACCCAGGCGACGTGAGCACTGGGAGGAGATGGACAGCCTGAGGAGACTCCGCTGCTGGCACCCAGGCGACGTGAGCACTGGGAGGAGATGGACAGCCTAAGGAGACTCTCTCCGCTGCTGGCACCCCGACGTGAGCACTGGGAGGAGATGGACAGCCTGAGGAGACTCCGCTGCTGGCACCCAGGCGACGTGAGCACTGGGAGGATGGACAGCCTGAGAGACTCCGCTGCTGGCACCCAGGCGACGTGAGCACTGGGAGGAGATGGACAGCCTGAGGAGACTCCGCTGCTGGCACCCAGGCGACGTGAGCACTGGGAGATGGACAGCCTAAGGAGACTCTCTCCGCTGCTGGCACCCAGGCGACGTGGCACTGGGAGAGATGGACAGCCTGAGGAGACTCCGCTGCTGGCACCCAGGCGACGTGAGCACTGGGAGGAGATGGACAGCCTGAGGAACTCCGCAGCTGGCACCCGGGCGACGTGAGGCAGCTGGGAGGGGATGGACAGCCTAAGGAGACTCCGCTGCTGGCACCACGGGCGACGTGAGCAATGTGGAGGGGATGGACCACCTGAGGAGACTCCGCACTGGCAAACCCGGGCGACGTGAGCACTGGGAGGGGGATTGACATCCTGAGTAGACTCCCGCTGCTTGGCACCCAGGCGCGACGTGAGCAACGGGAGGGGATGACAGCCTGAGGAGACCTCCGATGCTGGCACCCGGCGAACGTGAGCACTGGGAGGGGAGGACAGCCTGAGGAGACTCCGCAGCCTGGAACCACGGCGACGTGAGCACTGGGGAGGGGATGGACAGCCTGAGGGACTCGTGCTGGCACCCGGGCGACGTGAGCACTGGGAGGGGATGGACAGCCTGAGGAGACTCCGCTGCTGGCACCCGGGCGACGTGAGCACTGGGAGGGGATGGACGGTCGGAGGACGCAGACAGCCAGAGGGACGGCTCCCGGGTCGAGAGACGAACGGGGTGGGGCGTCATCTGCCGCAGATGCGCAGCCCCAGACCGACACCGCTTACACTGCTCGGGCTGTTGGGACTGCGCGACGGCTTCTGCGGCACCGGCGCGAAGATGCAGACCCGGTTGCTGTAGGCGGCGGCCACCTTGCCGCAGTCGGCGCTGCAGTCCACACAGCTGATCTGCACCTGGTCGTAGTTGACGCCCGGGATGATCTGCACCCGGTCGAAGTTCTGGTCCATGATGACCAGGTCACAGCCAGTGGCATACACCTGCAGCACATGAGCAGAGTAGACTGGTCATGAACACCACAGGGGGCAAAGTGAAGTAAATTCAAGGAAGCAAACATGAAGTTCTCACCATATCTCTCAATTTCATATAAGATTGCTAGGATTGTGAAAGCTCATGAAAGCATAGATAAAAGCCATTGGAAATTATACTCCATGCACACATTCCCATGATACAATGTCTGTATGCAAATCAAAATAAAAACATTCATGACTCAACAGCATATGATAAATCATACAAATAGGTAACAAATTATATCTTAACACCATAACACATGTGACACCAAACAAAAATATTACCATACCCTCATCATTGCTCACATTATGAGCATGGCATTTAGCTAAAACCAATGGCTGAAATGCTTGGGTAAGAGCATCACCTATGCAATGCATATAAATCCTTTGGCTGCAAGCATCACAATGAGCCACAACAATGTAGTCAAGAAATGAAAACACAGCAGTGCCCCTACCTCCAACAACTGCTTCAAGTACAGTACCCTGCCCAACTGACATGAGCCCAAGTCTGGCAAGTTTGAGGAGTCATTCATCATATCTCACTACCTGTCTGGTCACATGACAGCAAAAATACAACCATCTCAATGGACGCTGTTATGAATAATGGTACATATCCACTTGCCGTGAATGGGATGCCAAACACTGTGCCAACTGCAAAGCAGTCGGTGCTGGCATTGCAGGCACCAGTCAGAATCTGGTGGCACCGCATCCTGGCAGCCCTGCAGAACCCCGTCTGTGAACAGAACAGTGTGTGCCGGTGGATGCCGGGGTGCCAGACAGGGCCCATGGCTCCACTGGTGATGGCCAGACAGGGCCCATGGCTCCACTGGTGATGGCAGAGAGGGTCCATGGCTCCATGGATGGCAAAGATCACACTATTCTTAATGGTTTAGCCCTTCAAACTACCAGTTGACCTCCAGTACAACAACACTTCCCCAACAACACTCCTCCAACAACACACAACTCTCACCTTGGTCATTAGAAAACAACATACAACTCTAGTGGTACCCAGACTGGTGCTTGGTGCCAGTGTCAGCATGAAGCCCTGCTATAGCCCCATTTCCCTATTTTATAGTCATGTAGTCAACCCCTTGTGAGGTGACCAGGAGGAAATGTGAAGGGTCCAGCCAGGTCCACAGGAATGCATGCTTTCCACATAGCAAGCAAGGCTGTGACTCCTCCTGTGACTCTCACTTTATCCCACCAAATTTACCAAAGTTCATTACAAAAGACAGCCATACAAGGTCATCAAGTTCCCAACTGCACATATGCATCACCCTGGTTGACAGTGAGTCTATTTCAAGTATCTTCAATCTTCACCCTACTATAAAGCAGTTCTCTGTTGGCCACATTCAGCTGCCTGTAGCATTAGCATCATGATGTAACTACCTAGCTGATGACCAAAATTGCTGCAGGTCTTGTATGAGCAGAACCCTTGAATTCCTGATGAGCATCTGTTGTGAACCTGTACTGAATCCATGCATGGTTGTTTGCCCTCTTGTACTGTATATATGCCTGCTGTTATGTACCAGTCCATGAAAAACCCACATACAGGATGCCAGTCATGACATGGGTGACCATGAACTGATATTCATGACTGGACACCTGAGCAACCTCCTGTATTTTATGTTTAAGAAAGTCTGTGAATATTATGAAACAAAGTTTTGAGTCACACTATCTACTTTCAAGACAAGATGAACATGGTACTAAATTTGTACTTGTAATTTGTCTGCTTGTAAGGCACATTAATATTCATACACATCACATGAAATCTTGGCAGGGAATGAAATAACATAATCCCAAGATCTTACAAGCATGCAAAAAGGCTCAAGAGGATGCAGGAGTTAGATCTACACTGGTATTACCAAGACTAAATGGATGACCAATCTTACTAAATGGTGCTTTGCACATGTCCTCTAAAGGGTCAAACAAGTTACCCATCAAGTATAATTGTGCTTTGTTCCACTTAAGCGAAAAATACTTTAACTCCAGCAATGTTGTGTGGGGATGGGGCCCATTCCACCATCTCACTGTTGTTCTAGTCAATGAAATTAACTGAAATCTGATTCACTCCCATTAATTTTCAAAGGAATTGGTTTACCCTTCCTCAGTGAGCATTTCATTTTTGCAAGGTTTACTTTAACTTCACTTGGAGTCAGGTAGTGTGCTTAAGGCTGAGCCAATGAAGCAAACAAAAATACATGCATACCTTACTACATAGCATGCACAGAACTATCATATCTAGTAACACTGGTGAGCAAGTTATATTTGCAACTGATAATCACATAACCCCAATGTGAGGCACTTTTGCCAAAAATGACTACCTATTTGCCCATAGATCGACCTACAAACGCGTAGCAATCTTGGATGGACTCAGACGCGAGTAACGACAGTAGTTTTTATTCCCGTAGCCTGCACCGCCGCTTTTCGCCACTCTCGCACACCTGTTATTCACACATCTCTCCCAGCCATCACTTAATGTCATAACGATTGCTGAACTTCGCTCCCATGTACCTACCTATTCCTCTTTTCTTCTTCCTCTCCCGTTTGCTCCACTGCCCTAAAACATCCCTAACCTAGCCAGCTCCCTCCCCTGCCCCGGCCATGGACGTTTACGAAGAAGAAAACATTGCAGTCAGCTGACCAGTTCGCGATGGGGACGAAGACCGCCCACATTTAGCCCAGATTTGGCCCAGTTCATATTTGGCAGCACAAGGGGAAAGAAAAACTTGCCATGCGGCACCAGTAGCGGTTTAGCAGGGAGGGCAATAGGCAAAGGAGTAGTCGCCACCCTGTTCACCGGCAGCGGAAAACACATTGTTTGCACTTTCAAAATGCTGGGGAGGCCTATCTCTCCAAAGTAAAGGTATTTTAGCTCCCCGTAGATTAACAAAATTCACATCAGGGAGGCCCTCCAACGGTGCTAAAACGATAAATCGAGATCAAGACCCTTTTCCATATCAAGAGCATGGGCAGATCCAGGATTTCGTCAAGGGAGGGGCAGCGCTTCACTGTGGTGGTACCCCCTGGAAATGTGTGCCCCTTGAGAATGAGGGTTTATGGCCCAGATAGTGCCAATGGAGTTTTGAAGTTCGGTGCGTCCCGAAAAGGAAAATACTCGGGACCACTTGTGGTGTTCCTGAGATTTGCTTGTTTTTTTTTTTAATCAAAGGTTATGTGAACAGAAATGAGAATCCTGGTGCCCATTCTCCATGACATTGTGATGAAATTTGGTGCTTCTTCTGCATAAGATTCACATGAGATTGAGACATGGCCCTTTGACCCTCCCTCTGATCAACCTCTGATCACGAGGCCTTTTTTCTAGACCATGGGGCTACCTTTATGAATGATTTCTCATGTTATAGATAAGTAGACCCAATGTGTTATGTTAAAGAGGCCCCTTCGCTGGCTCAGACCTCCGCTGACACAACATAGGAACCGGCACTTGTTTTGGTTAGTTAGACGTGACCCTCTATTTTCATGGGGCCGCATCTTTGGGATAGGAGGCCCCTTTCATGCCTCAGATGGCCCCAATTCCTGATCAGGATGCCTTTTGGAGTAACAGGACCCCTTGGCTTAATTTGGGGTCCCCTTCGTGAATTGGAAGCATCCCGTTCTGAATAAGGAGGCCCGATTGATGCATCAGGTCATTTTCTGGGGCAGGGGATCGTGTTTTAAGAAAGCTGAACAATTTCTGGGTAATCAGAAGACCCTTTCTGAGTAATCAGAAGGCCCTTTCTGGGTAATCAGAGGGCCGTTTCTGGGCAATCAGGCCTTTTTTTGATTACCAGAAGGCTCGTTCTTGGTAATCTGAAGGCCCTTTCTCGCCTTTCAGAAAGCCCCATTGTAATCACAGGAAGGCGGTTCAAAAGCACGGAATTACATTATCACTCTGAGCCAGCAACCAAATTATATCAGCCACACAGAGCCGCAACCCTCGTCCCGGCCCGCTCAACTCCGCTCCCTCTCCCGCACATGCAGCGGCGGGTCGACAACTTCCGGCTATATCACAAGTGTGTTTTACCGCTGGGCATTTACGTTGCGCGAGACCGCTAAACAATTATTGATACACCCACGTTATGACCTCAAACATCATACACATCATCGAAGCACCACGCCCCAAATAATTTCCTAGCGCATAACGCAGAACTCGAACGTCGTCTTCACACCACAGCCACTGCGACAGACGCCGGTCGCGCTCACTCCGTCGCAGAAGCGGCTCTGATGGAGCCGGTTTCGAATCCACGTCGTCGTCACTGCCCGACTCTCGGTCGCCGCACACCGGAACATTCAATGGCGATGCGTCACTGTCGCGATCGCCAAGCCTCGTCCTCGAGTCACTGCCTGCCGCCACACCGTCGTGGCGCCGTCGGAGACACAGCACGCTCCCTGACAGTTCGTCCACTTCCACTACCTGTGGAGGCGCAGTGCCTGTGACCATCCCCTCCGAGACGGCTCGGTGCACGGCACTCCCCGCCGTCTCGCCCAAACGGCGTCGCGCACCTCGTGAGCCACGGTGACACGGGCGGCACGATGTCCGGCACAGCTCCAGCGGCACACGTCACAACTTTTGACTAACGCCCGCGCTGCCGCCCGTGTGACCTCACGAGACTCATCACGGCACGCGAAGAATAAGGTCCGGTGGCCGCCGGGGTGGCCCGCCCGCTCGTGCGCCCTGCCGTGCTGGGGCGGTGTCCGCAACTCCCACCGGCGTGTCTACCGTCACCTCCACGTCACGCACCCACTCCTTAAGCACCCGTGTCGGCAAGTCAGCGAGGTTCTCCGATCACACTAGCGTGACTGTCATGCTCAGCTCCAGTTCTTCTACAAGTTGCCGTATGATGCCCACGTGTGGACGGATAAGCATCTCCCCAGCCGCGCGCGTTCTGAGGAGTTCGCGGCTGCTCAGAGCGTCGCCAATGCAGCGATGCACCGCAGCCGAGTCCGTCCTCAAGTCGACTTTTCTCTCCCCCCCCCCCCCCCAAGGCGATGGCCAGATTTAGCCCTCGGGTGGTGGCGTCCAGCTCTGCCATGTTGACGCGATCTGCGGCAGATCGCTCAGGTCGCAGCCAACAGCCATCTTCCATCACGCCGCCGGCCGGCGTCTCGACGACACCGGCCGCGATCGAGCCGATGTCGGTCCAAATGATGGCGCAGTCTCTGCCTCAGCACCAATAACCGCGCGCCGGGTCTGCAGCTGACAGCCGCTCGCACATGGGTCCGATCTGGGCGTGTAGGATCTTGTCATCCGTGACGTCATCCCAGCCGTTGGTCACTGCCTTCGCACGTTTTTTCAGCCATGCAGTGGCCGACCGCCACCAGCCGCACATGGGAAGGAGGCCGCCAGCTGGCCGCACCACGCGAACACACCGTGGCGAGTCACGCGCCCCGGCGGCGCGGCGATGGCGCTATACTGTGACCACTGGAGCTCGCCGGCCGCCTGCTGCACGCGCAGACCGAGAATTCGGGCCCTGTCTTCCGCTCACGTCGGCGGCTTGCATTCCAGCCCGAAGCGACCGAAATGTTTCACTACGCGCTCCGAACTGATCACTTCCTTTTCCACAAGTAGGTCGTCCACATATGGGTACACGGCCCGGTCCACCTCGGGGTCCTGTGCCAGAACGGTTCTGACCACTGTCTCCATCACAGGTGGCGCCACATTGGGGCTGAAGTCGAGCCGCGTCAGACAGTACCGTTAACCGCGGATTGTTGCCGTCTGGTACGGCTACAGCCCCGGTTGAGCCGCAGCTGCAGGTAGGCCCGCCGGAGATCAACAACGGCGACTCGCCGGCCGTGGCGGCACCACTTGCGGAAGTGTTTGGCGCACACGTCGGCATCCGCGGTGTACGCCAGCCACTTGACTGTTCAGCTCGCGCCTGTCGAGCACTGACCTCACCTTGTGGACCTGGGCACGGCCATCAGGGGGACCAGCCCGAGCGCCGGTCCATCTTCAGCCCCGTTGTACGGCTGCGCCCAGCCGTTCCGCAGCCAGATCTCCAGCTCCTCATCGTAGAGCTGCCGCGCAGAGGCCACCGAATACTCAGTCAAGCGATTGATGAGGCACGCTGATCCGACGCTGTCTGCCCACTTCCACGCGTCAGTCTACGCACGGCTGTGGGGGGTCGAATTCGGGCTTGAAGTCCTTTGTGTCAACGCGCAGTGTCCTTCCACTAGCCCTGACTGCCCGCTCTGCTGCTCCACCGAACTCGGGAGGTCGGTCCGTCGCTCCACTGGTCGCGGGAGGCTGCTCCACCGTTCCACCGGCCGCGGGAGGCCAGCCCGTCGCTCCACCGGCCGCGGGAGGCTGCTCCACCGCTCCAGCGGCCACGGGAGGCCGATCCGTCGCTCCAGCGGCCGCGGGAGGCTGCTCCACTGCTCCACCGGCCACGGGAGGCCGATCCGTCGCTCCACCGGCCGCGGGAGGCCAATCCATCGCTCCACCGGCCGAGGGAGGCTGCTTTGCCGCTCCACCGGTCACGGGAATCCGACCTACCGCTCAACCGGCTGCCGAGCCAAGTCTGACGTCCACCGGCGTCCGGGCGCTCACACCGCCCGGAGTGGCGGTTCCCCTCATACCAATCCCTGCATCCACTCCCATCGGGTGGATCGGTACCACCAAGGCCGAACGCGTCACCGGACGCCCCGCGGTCAACACTGTCATCTCGCCAACGCCCCGGCACTTGAGCGTGCCGCCTCCCATCGTCGCAATCAGGACGCGGTGCAGTGTCCACCGCATACACTGCCCTCCATACACGATGTTGTCCACGCAGCCGGTGTCAACCAGCACATCACATGGCTGTCCATCCACCGCCACCTGCAGCACTGGGAGCGCCCTTCTCACTGCTCGGGAGCGGGCACTGGCACTGAGACACCGACCCCAGGCCGTTTCCCGGACAGGCCGCCGCAAAGTGACCAGGCTTGCCACACGACCAGCAGCGGCGCTCGCGTTGCGCCGGGGGCCGCGTTTTAGATACATTGATATATACTTTTGTGACGACAGACACACGAAGCCCGCAGAACTTGCACGGTACATGACAGCTGACAGACTCTTCTATACATCTGGCTGTTCGTTCCATTTAGGCATCTTAAACACTTCAAATCAGAGGATATAACACGGGCATGCAAATCAACAATAAACTTTTCACTGGACAGAACTCACTGTCGTTTGGGCTTGGCAACAACAATTTTTTTTTAGCCGTGCAGAAGACATCATTAGCACCACACACTGTGAATAACACAGCAGATCCCAACACTACATGCCAATCACCCAATATCCACGCCATTCATCAGTGTCTCGTTCCTTGTCAAATTGATTTATTGTGATCTTGCTCCAAAGATATAATTTAGTGGTTTGATTAATTTCTTTGCTTAGAAGTCGCTTATGGTTATGAATGAGTAATGCATCCAGAATGTTGAGTGTTATTGTTTTGTGTGTAGATGATAGAACAAGTGTTTTGTATGAGTGCTAGGCGCGCGAGAAGAGTACTGTGTTCGGGCTGTACGCGATTCGTTGGTGCCCCTCCGAAAGGTGCTCTGTGAGCCGTCGGAACAACAATGTTGTAGTTACACCATTGTAGCATACGAAACCTTGCAGCAGCACCTGG